ATTGTCATTTTACTGTTTTATTCACACATTACTAGACACACTGTTGACGAAGGTGTATTTTGTTGATAATTGATAGTCATCTTAGATATTGGTTTGTGGACCATCATTGAAATGAAATGAATGTAGCTGAGTCATTCGCCTCGATTGAGAGTGGGCTTCCTTGTGTCCTCACTACTTCAGTAATACGTAAGCCTATGTGAGAAACGAACTTTACAATATTTAGTGGGCACCGAGCTTGTCTTAGCCTACCTTGATTTATTTCGAAGAGTTGTCCATACCTGACCTATGCAGCATTCACACAAAATCTTGTTCGGTTATTGCAAGTTCATTTCCATCACCTCACAATTCAGTATTGGCACGCTCTCATAAAATCACATTTCATTGTTTTATAAATCTTGCAACAAATTTCAGCGATTCTCTCGGGACTGGCGCTAAGACCTAAACGCTTTGGCTTCAATTGGTTCCTTTTACTTGATGCATATTTCTGACTCTTCACTGATTGCAGTCTTCTTTGAAGATTACGCCACATTCAGAGATACTTTGCTTGTCAGATGAGTCCATTTGAAGTTTCTTATTGTTCATACCAACGCCGACTTGAGTATGATGTTTTTTCATCAATACTTATGTTCACTAAAACTAAAATGGTGTAGTACGGTAAATCAAATATGTAGGTACCTTTTTTGAAATTGACGTGAAAATTCAGTTGAGCAAATCTAGCATGGCGCTAGTCCAGTCACCGAACTCTAAATCTCTACACCAGTGGGATTAAACTATGCAAATTATTTTTATAATTATCGCTAGTTGCAGTATAAAACGAAACAAGTAAATAGTAAAAGTTTTGATCCACAGCCTGGGTAGTTCCCATGCGAAGTAATTGATCGTTCGACACTTTGTTCTCACTACAGGTTTCGGATACAGTCGTGGAACCTTATAATGCCACACTCTCCGTGCATCAGCTTGTGGAAAATACAGATGAATCGTTCTGTATTGACAACGAGGCACTGTACGACATTTGCTTCCGTACCCTGAAACTGACCTCGCCGACCTATGGTGATCTGAACCATCTAGTCAGTGCCACTATGTCTGGAGTGACAACCTGTTTACGATTCCCCGGCCAGTTGAATTCCGATTTGCGCAAATTGGCCGTGAATATGGTCCCGTTCCCTCGGTTGCACTTCTTTATGCCCGGTTTCGCTCCACTCACTAGCCGGAGCAGTAAACAGTACCAGGCACTCACAGTGCCCGAACTTACACAGCAAATGTTTGACGCGAAAAACATGATGGCCGCCTGTGATCCGCGTCACGGACGTTATCTAACTGTGGCAGCCATTTTCCGGGGTCTGATATCCATGAAAGAAGTTGAAGAACAAATGCTCAAAGTGCAAAATAAGAACTCCAGTTACTTTGTTGAGTGGATTCCAAATAATGTGAAAACAGCTGTGTGCGATATTCCTCCCCACGGTCTGAAAATGTCCTCCACATTTATTGGAAATAACACGGCTATTCAGGAGCTGTTCCAACGTATCTCTGAACAGTTTACTGCCATGTTCCGGCGAAAGGCTTTCTTACATTCGTATTTGGGTGAGGGTATGGATGATATGGAATTCACCGAGGCCGAATCAAACATGAACGATTTGGTCAGCGAATACCAGCAATACCAGGAAGCCACGGCTGACGACGGCGTGGACTATGAAGAACCGGCAGAAGAGGACGAGTAAAACACTCTGGGAGCAAAATCGAATACATACTATTGTGTTATCAGGAGACATTTTTCTTTCTTAAGAAAATAAACTCATTCTTGAGTCGTGTAGCGTCTTAATAACATTGCCTGATTACGCTGGCAAGTGTGCATGAATACTGGTAAAAACCAAAAATTGGGTGGATAGTAATCCCAGACTGGTCAGGATTGTACAATCACACAACCACAACGGAACACTGCGAATATTAGAAAACTGACCAAAAAATGAGTGGAAAGGCGTATAAGGTTTACATTCATACTTCAGGTCACGTATTGTAATCAGCGACTAAGCGTTGTGTAACCTGCTGCACGAAAACATCCAAATGGATGATTAACGCGAAGCCATCAACTGCCGATTCCGAGTTCACTTATCTGATTTTTTATCATAAACTAAACGCGGATAGTGACTAACAGCCACATTATGCATTTCGCTCAGTTTCTGTTGTGTGCAAATGAATTTAGTCTCGTTCAGTATCCACTCAGTGGTCGGATGCAAAGGACATTTGCTTTTCCTGCAGGAATACCTTGTCCATAAAGCGGAATACGTTGATGCAGCGGAGGATATACGGTCTCTGATAAAGCACAACGGTTAATGAATGTTCTATATTGTTTTGTTGGATATACATTTCTTCATACAACTTTCAGAAAGAAGATTATCGCCGAAACAAAGGTTGATACGGAGGATACGGATATTGGAGGGAGATGAAAGTTAGGAACGGTGGAGAGATCTGAATACAGAACCTCCGGGATACTGTCTTGTTGACAGCAACTGCTTGACCCAATGAAAACCGTCTTGACCAGTTGCTCTATTCAGCTTTTGCACCTATATACATGTATCCGTTTACGTAGACTAGTGCGAACACAAATAATCGCGTATGAAAGGGATCCTTAGTAAACACGCATTTCATTGGGGCTGGGAAGCATATCTGTATTTCATACAATTCATGACAGGGATAATTTGTCAAAATGGAACACAAAGCACTGATGAAACAAATATCATCTCGTGATGAAATAAACATTCGTAGTGATTCTCCGATGAAAATGGACTGAATTCGTCATCAACATTAGGATTTCAGCATCATAAATCACAGGGCATAATCTCAGCCAAATAAATTTCGGTGTAACATCATATGTACAGCCGAGGCGATAGCTATTTAAGCATTGGATAGCCCCTATACAAACAAAAGTAGTTCGTTCGAGCTCCGGCTTTTCAACGGCATCGGATGAAGAAACCCAACAGCCCCATTCCCCTGGAGGGGCGGGGCGCATCAATGTTCTAGCCGAGATGTGGATCAGGTAAACAAACTTAGCATACTTTCTGTACCTAGTTTAATGCGATCAAAACCATATCAACGGGTCCAAATAACTCTATGTAATTTTAATAACCAGTTGAGGAATTTATCAAAAGAATCTGGTTTGTTTCATCTACCGGACGTTGTTTTTAATGTCTTCATATATGTATATATATATATATATATATATATATATATATATATATATATATATATAT